ATATGAGTTTTTCCATCAAATGAGAAGCTGTGAGTGTCCATACAATGACTTGAAAACACTTTCATACTCGTCTCTCACATTTTATTTTGACACATTCATAAACCTTAGTTTTGATTTTCTGTAATAGAGTGATGAAGAAAATGTTAAAAATAGTTTCTAAAGGTTTTACACATAAAAAAAGGCAGAATGTGGCAGCCTCTACTGAGTCAATATTTTCTTGAACCATCTTTTGCTTTCCCTGCAGTTGCAGCTGCAAGTCGTCTGGCATGAATCTCCTCTAGCTCTGCACATCTAGAGACTAAAAGATTGTTGTTTGCAAAATAAGTGAATAAAAGTGACACTGGATGGAATGCATCTGCAAATTAATTTTCAAGCCTTGCAACAGATTCTCAGTAGGTCTGCCCTTTAACTAGGCCATTCTAACACACGTATGCTTTGATCTAAAACATTCTAGTCTAGCTCTTATTCTATTTAAATAGGTTCTTTGCGTGCTGAAAGGTGAACCTCAATCCTACCAGTCTAACATGTTTTTCAGTCTCTAGCTTGTTTTCCTCCAGAACTGCTCTGGGTTGAACCCCAGCCATCAACTCTGACAGCTTTTCGTCTCCTGCTGCAGAAAAAGCAAGCCCTGCCTGCAGTATAATGCTGCCACCACTGTGCCTCAGTACTAGGATGTAGTGTTGTGTTTTGGTTGCCAGAAGTTTTTCTTCAAAATGTTTGCTATTTCCCTTTCATAATCTGTGGTGAACTACATAGCGGTCAGATTTGTGGAGTGGACAATGAATAGCTCCTGTCCATAGATTCTCCCAACTGTGGATCTCTTCAGCTCCTCCAAAGTTTCCACAAGCCTCTGGATTTCAGTACAATACATTATTATTTTGAGTTGTAAATTTACAAAATGTGACAAGATCCAAGGAGAATAAATAGTTTTGCAAGACTCCTTAACGAGTCTCTTCTTGTTTATTCTGCTTTCTTTCAGGCTTGCTTTGAGGACTTGGTGCAGTTCATGTCCAGCGGTCCCTCCCATATTCTGGTGCTTTCTCAGATAGAGGGCACGGCCAATATCATACCGGCATGGCGCGAGTTCATTGGCCCAGCAGACATAGAGGAGGCCAGGAGAGAAAAGCCCGAAAGGTTAGTAAGAAAGAAATTCCGAATGTTGCACATTTGAAGAAAAAGGAACAGAGGACTAAAGCAACTAAATCTACGGTTTGGTGAAAAATATCATACATGCATTTATTTCTGCACTGTTGATCAGCATAACTGGAAAGGATCCCAGTTCTGGGTCTGGAGTAGGGAGTGAACAGCACATTCTCGCCTGCTTGATCAGACACACCCAAACGTTATGCTTCTCTTTGGTTGAGCACCAGCCGAGCATCCATCTGGTCCTCTCTTCCTCCTCCCCCCACCCGACTTCCTGCAGCTTGCGGGCGCAATACAGCACAGAGACGCTGTTCAACGCAGTGCATGGCAGTGCGGACAGCGACCAGGCCAGCAGGGAGCTCGCCTTCTTCTTCCCCAACTTTAGGACAGCCTCCGACGCAGAGCAGGATGGGGAGGAAGAGCGTGTGGAGAGGACGCTGGCTCTCATCCGGCCCGACGTTGCCAGGGAGAACAGAGGTGGGGCTCAAGCCAAAGGCACAAGCACAAATGCTCCTGAGTGGGAGTGCAAGCGCCATGCACAATCACTGTTCTTCTTAATAGTATAGGGCTGTGATTAATTATCATTGCAGAGGGTTTGAGTCACTATCACTAAAGGGACTCCTGTTATTTTGCAGATGAGATTTTGGCCCAGATTCACAAGTCGGGTTTCACAGTCGCCCTCCAAAAAGAGGTGATGTTGACCGAAGAGCAGGTCAAGCAGTTTTACTTCCAACATGTGGATGAAGACTACTTTCCTGCACTTATGCGAAACATGACAAGGTAAATTTGACCTGTGCTGCTGTGAATCTAAATGTCACACAATGCAGACATTAATTCTCCATCTTTGTGACCACAGTGGCCCTGTGCTGGCGTTAGCTCTGGCCAGGAAAGGAGCTGTCCATCACTGGAAGAACATCCTCGGCCCTCCTGACCTTCACGAAGCCAAAGAAGAGGATCCTGAGTGGTGAGTCACGCGTGCCTCTCCTCATTCAGCTGCTAAGAAGAGAGCAAAGGGTCACTGCGGTGTAATTTCCTGCAGAAATGCGGTGGACGTTTGAAGGTGAAGCTGTGTGACAGCTTGTTAAATAAAGCTCCTCTTTTCACCTTCCTGTTTCACAATCTTCAGGTTTTAATAACAAGATGAAAGACTGGCATCCTGTATCCGCTGCTCTAACATCGCGCAAGAAAAAAAGACATCAGATGCATAATAACTTCATTTCGACCAGCAGCGCTATTACGCCGCAAAATATTTTTTGTATTATTATTGTGTCTTTTCCTGCCTGCGAAGGCTTCTGTGGCTTTTCTAAGGATGTTTTATTAAAATGTGAAAATTACCAGATGGCAAAACGGCAGGATGGTCAGATGTGAACAGAAACACAGAAAATGACTCAAATTTGCTCACCAGAAAGATCTGACTGCTGAAATTACATTTGAATTACAGCATTCCCTCTGGAAAATTCTGGAAGCCATCAAGTGTTTGTTATTCTGCACGGATGAAACTTAAATTTCTGGTCAGTCTTGCATTGACTTACAGTAGTATTCATGCATCTTTAACTTTTTTCTCACATTACAGAAACATAAACCATACATTTGTATTCAGCTCTATTACATCAGATGCACCTTAGTAAGATTATGTTCAGCCAAATGCCCTAAAAAGTCACATATTGAGTAAAAATGTAATTTAAACACGGTGAAGGCAGCATCATGCTATGGGGATTTTTTTTTTTCTTTATCAAGGACAGAGAAAGTGATCTGAGTTTATGGGAAGATTAATGGTGCTAAATAAATGGAAATCTTGAAAAAAATGCAATAGGCTTGCGAGGCAGAATTTGGCCTGATGGTTTAGTTCCAGGCATATTCAGGTGTTAGAACGGCCTAGTCAAAGTCAAATCAACACAGATGAAGATACATTTATCGCAAAGTTGAAACTTATATCCAATTAAGGAATAATTTGCGGCAAGACTCGTTTGACTTTCATAGATTTTCTAAATCAGAGGTGTCCAATGTGTGGCCAGAGGGCCATTGGTGGGCCTTGAATTGATTCTGTTTGGACCCTGACCACTAATCAAAAACGGTAAAGAATTTGGACAACAAAATAGAAACAATTTGGAAATGGTCTGCTTTTCTTTTATTGATAAGGAGACAGTCTGAAGCCCTATTTTATGTTTTAGATCTACAGATTTTGCAAAAAAAGTTTTTATTTTTTATTTTATGCAGGTAAATACAAAAAAGAAAAAATGAAGAAAAAAAATTACAACAGATTTTTGCATGTTTTGTTTTATGAATTTTGTGGCCTGCTAGGAGTTAAAATTTGCCAGTTTTGGCCCCTGAGGCAAAATGTTTGGACACAAGGCAAAAACCTGGGAAAACCATGTATGTCTTTCCTCCCAGTTGGACTACTTTGTGTTTGTCAATCTCAATAAGATTATTACTGTGCAGTACATACAGTACAATCCTCTGTCTCCTCCTATGTAGTCTGAGGGCCAAATTTGCTGTAGAAAATGAGCCCATCAACCAGCTACATGGCAGCGCAAATCCTACAGAGGCGGAAAGAGAGCTGAACTTTTTCTTTCCTCAACAACGGACGCTGGCAGTCATCAAACCCGATGCTCTGGAGGAACACAGAGGTTCTCCTTGATCTCCCAGTACAACTGAGCAAGCCGGACTTTCTTTTTGTTTTATTTATTGTATCTTTTTATTTTCTCAATGCTGACAGATACGATTTTGGAAGAGATTCGGGGGAGAGGCTTCACCGTGGCGCAGCTGAAGGAGACTGTGCTGTCACGAGAGATGGCTGAGGAGTTTTACAAGGAGCACAGGGAGAAGCCATTCTTCACGCAGCTGGTGGATTTTATGTGTCGGTTGGTTTGTCCCCACACACGAACACAGGAGCAGGGCGAACAGACCAGCTCCTTTTTCCACAGCCAGTCTCATCTTCAATTTATACTGTGATATTGGAAGCTCAGAGTCGAGGCAGCCTGGGGCCAGAGGCTTGGAAGTCAATCTCAGTTTCATTCTTTGTTCAACATCACATCCAGTCTCTGGACTTGTCTTCCGCTCCGATTAGTCCCTTCACCAGGTTGTTACGCAACCGCTAGGGCGCTGGCAGAGGAGCGACTGTGCGCATCAGACTCAGATTGTGAGCTGATATGAGCTTAGATTGTGTTCTTGTTCCTGTATTGTTGAGATTAAGTCAAAGAGAGTAACATACTCCTAGCAACAGCTGAATTGTTAGAGGGAGGCGGCTGTGCTTTAAAGGGTAACTTTTCCCTGGAGCGTATTTTTCAGCAGCTCTTTAGCAGCTTATTTCAGGGAGCTGAGTTTCAGGAATTGGCTGGTATAAAACTTGTCTGATTAGATAAGCTGGAATGAAAATGTCATTGCGTTAAAACTAAAAATTCTAGGCAAATATGAATAACATGTTCAAATTGCTTTCATTTAAAACTTTAAGTGTAAAACAAAGCTGAATTTAGTCAGTTTACAAGCAAACATACTTATTGCTGCTGCTCTGGCATTCATGAAGTAACACAGGTAAGCTGATATTAGCTCGGTTACCAGTAGCCGGCCAGCAGTCGTACGGCACATGACTCACTAAATGCAGTTTAAGAAAAAAACATCACATTTAATAGGCGTGATGGCTGATGCTTCATTGGTTTCCACACCGTGCCCGTTAGTATTTTTGTGAAAGATTTCCAAACAACTAAACATTTCTTTCTAAGGACTAGAAAAGTGTACATTTTTAGCCAGCACAGTGACAGGCGGAGGGTGGGCAGTGATTTGCTTTTCTGTCCTCCATACAACCAGGAAAGCGCTAGTAATTTGGTATTTGCAGTTTTGAGATTGTAACTTTTACAAAATCTTTGTATACCTCCATGCATGACTCATGTCTAGTTGTGAGCAAAGTTTGCAGTAATAATTTGAAATCAACGAATCGTAATCTGAACCAAAAGCCACATAAAGCCTCCACTTGCACTTGTACAAGGTCCTTTCTAAGCTTATTTAACTGCAAACTACTGCTGCTTGAGAAAGTTATCGTGCAATTACAGAACAATCCAAATTAATTTTGTCGCTCCACATTCTTTTATATTTAGTATAAAATAATTAAATCAGCTATATTATTTCAATCTGGAGAGACTCAGACGGAGAAAGAAAGCGATTAAAAGAGTCTAATGACAAAATGAACATGAAAATAAACACAAAGTCCTTTGGCGTTCAGGCCCCGGCCGGGGATGTCGAGCTGGAACTTTGATAAGCTCGATAAACATTCCTGATGCTGCATAGGAATGTAATCCCCCCCGGGGCCTGTACTGGTGGCGGCTGTCGAAGAAGGATGTGGCCTGAGTGCCAGGAGCAGAAGGTGGAGATGGGGCGGAGGTGGGTTGATCGCAGCTGGTAAGCGGAGGAGGCTGTGACCAGGAGGTCCTTTTCAACTGGAGCTCGAACAATGATTGGCCGAAGTGAGGCTTGATCCAACGCTGATAGGTCCAGGGTGAAGAGAGGGAGGCGCTGATTGATGAGGCAGGTGAGGCTAAAGAGCCTTCCAGATTGAACTTTTGTCAAGACTCCATATTAATTTCAAAGTTCCTTTTAATGGTTTTTCAGGTGACTTTCAGTTTTCCAGAGGATGATATTCACTCAATATCACTTCAAACTTGTTGCAAAGACACAATTTGTTCCTGTTTTAATGAGTAAATCTTTGAAAAATACCAAGTATAGCAATTTGACGGGAAATAGTGTTTTATCACTGACAACGAGCTTTTTGCAAAAAGAAAAAAAAAACAAAAAACATCAAATGCAGAGCCTGAAGAATGTTCTCAAAGGTCCTAAGCCAGGTCTTTGAATTTTTTTGGTTTTGCTCTTATTTTCCACTTCTACTGTGGATAGTTCTTGTATTCCTGAACACTTCTCCTTTTGCCCTATTCTCTCCGTAGTAAAGTCACCACACAATCTGCTGTATTATCAGCTACAGGGATTAGGGCCAATCCACAAACGAGTGAAAATGGAGCAAACATATTTGAAAGATCATCAGAAAGTCTTCACCAAGACCACTTAAGAAGATCACAAAAAGATCTGGCTTATCAGAAGTAAAACAATACCACAAAAAATGGTTGTTTAAAAAAAAAACAAATAAATTACAACTTATGTTTTGTTCAGATCTATAAAGACATGACAGTAATACATGTGTAGAATGCTGGATCAAAAATCATATTGCCCAATATTTTGTCCTTTCCACAAATACCTTCTCTGTTTGTTTCAGTGGGCCCTGCATGATGCTCATCTTGACCAAGGAGAATGCAGTGGAGGAGTGGCAGGCCATGATGGGCCCCAGCGATCCAGAGAAAGCTAGAGAAATCTCCCCATGGTCTCTGAGGGCCCGCTTCGCTGCCGACATCCTCCGCAACTCGGTTCATGGTTCCTCCAACGAGCAGCAAGCAGAGGAAAAGATCCGGTTTGTCTTTGGCGACATCAGCGCAGACGCAGCTCCAACTGCTGACAGCGAAACCAGCAGAACCACCTCAGGTATCCTGATCGTTTGTCATTCTTGTTTTGTTTTTTTTTTGTTTTTTATCTTCAGCGTCACATACCAGCAAACATTTACGCTTCTTTTGTCGTGCATTTCGTTTTTATGATAGCGAGAGATATTTCCGTCAGGAATGTTTTTCATTGGTTGAAATGCGTTTTTGTAAGTTTAAATTTAAAGTTAAGATCTGTTTATTTCAGCTGAATGGCCAGGCGGTTCTGGAGATGAAAACAAAGAAATATCAAGATCTACAACTGAAGACACCTCTAATATCTAGGGTCACTAGGGTCACCATGAGGTTTCTTTAATTAGGGGATTAAATGATCATGTCTCAAAAGTGGCTTAGCATGTATAATGGTGTAAAAAGTTGGAATAAAATGGGAATCTAAAAAAATGGATATGAACCATTAGTCTTTTTTTCTTTCCTTTTTGAAATGACATTTTTTTTTTTTTTTACTTTTTCTCAACAGTCATATCCTACTTCACAGCTACCATTACTCTAAAATATTAAAATTGTGCCCACAAGGCAGAAAATAGCCTTATGAGAAAAAAAAATAGCCATCTCTCAGTTTGTCATATAATTAAGAAAATAGAGTTAACGGGAACAGCCAGGGCTATAAGGTCTTGATTACTAAGAACATTTTCAGGCCAGGTTGTCCAGGGAATGACTAGAAAAAAAGGCTGGTCATATATGCAAGGTCATTTAAATTCTTTAAAGAAAAAAAAAAGAAAGGAGAAATTATATTTGATGCATTTGATGAAAATGAATTGGAGGGAAAAAAAACAATGGGCAGCTGTCTTATAGGACAAATAATATCTCAGCGTAATGACTTTAAAAACAATAAAACTCAAACTCCAAAATAAGCTACAGACTGTGGTCCTTTACCTACCGGCAGTAAACACATCGTCTAAAACCTGTGATAAGGAGTCCATGCAGGACAGCACTTCTCCTTTTCACAGGAGGCTTGGATAAAAATCCTCAGTGAAAATAACTGAAAGGTTTTCAGCTGGCAACAGAAAGCTCCACAAGTAGACAAGCTGTCATACTTATTAAAAGGCTGCTGCTGCAGTAAGTACACAGTGCACAGGGTGCCCACATTTGGCATCAGGGCATTTCAGTTTATATTTTGAAATGGAAAAACAGGAAATATTACCTTCACGTAAACTGTACAACGTCCCTCTAAACGCAAGGAGCGCTTTAGAGGAAACTGATTATATTTATTATCACAATGTCACAAGCAGCATCCAGAGATTCTCTAAGTGGACAAAGGAAAACATAAAATGTTGGTCCTCTGACTATATCCAGACCTGGGAGGGGAAAACTTACATGTCAAACAATCGACTGGCATGTCCATTTATTCGTTGCAGGGAAATCTGCACATTGCAGAGTTAATGTGTTTTCTCATTAGTGACAATTTAGAATAATATGACCTTCCTTCATTGCTTGCTTTTAAATCCCAGCCGCCTCCCATTACAAAGAACAGCTCAATTCAAGGAAATCAGCCCATTTTCTCTTGTAATTATAATGTGTGGTATCATGGGAACAGTGCCTTTCAATTCAGTAACAGGGATGAAAAAAAAACAGACAAAAAAACATCACATTTTACATCATCAGTGGGTGGTGTCTGTGTTATATTGAGGAACCGCAGTGTTCCTGGTTTAACAATAATTTCTAGTCTTTCCAGACCGCAACTGGAGAATCCTGACAATATGTTAAAGACAACACAGTTTTGATTAAACGTTTAAATACACTCGCCTGTCATAACTTTTAAGTATTATTTGAGCCATCTTCCTTCAGCACACCCTCAAATAATCTGAATTAATATCCTTCTGCCAAATGCATCTATAAGATACAATTCTGGATGGATATTCGACCAATCTTCATGTCAGAAATAGTAGAACTCATTTAATTTAGCTTCCTGTTCAAACATTTTTAAAATCATTGAAGCTGATCGATCTGCTCCAAAATCAGTTTTGGTGTTTGGGATCATTATTGCCAGAACATCCGACTGGGTTCAAGTTTTAACCATTTGACTCAAATGTTCTCCTCCAACGAAAGGAAATTGACTCAGATGTCCAATAACAACGCAGGAACCACAAAAGCTGCAGCTGCCAACATGGATAACCTAAATGCCTCCTGGACAAAGGTTTTATGGTGTTTCTATGGGCAACCGACAACTTAGATACAACTGGAGATTGATCATGATCCCTAACATATCAAATGACTAAACCAAGGGACATTTGAGATATTTGTGAAATTAATTAACGACCAACACTGAGGAACTGATTCAATTTTAGACCCTTTTGAGTTTTATTTAGGCATTTCCTTTAATCGTTAGAACACATACATTTGACATAAGATCAACTCTAGTGTGTTTTATATTTGCAAAAGAGCTGAAACATTTAACTTGAATCATGATAGAACAGGAGCTACGTCTGGCTCCAGTGAAGGAATAAACAGTTTCTTAATTTACAGCAGTTTTCCCAGAGTCATCTGGTGAAGAAGTCTTTCATTGTCTTTTTGTGGGTGTCTTTGCTAAAACTGGTGCCAGTGCAGGACGGAGCAGCCTCCGCTTCTGGTGGCGTGTCCTTCCAGTCGTTTGCAGCCTCCATTAGGATGGCCTCATCGAAATCATCTTCCTCAGAGAAAGATCTCTGGAACATCTCCATGATGCTCCTCTGGTTCGGGTCCTGGGCAAATTACAAGATATAACGATCATCTCATGGCAAATGTTTTTTTTTTTTTTGTTTGTTTTTATAAGCGAGGTGATTTATTGGGATTTTAAGTAATTTAACAAAACAATGCAATTGTTGTTTATGTTCACATAAAACCTACCTTTGAGTGGAAGCTTTCGTTCTCAGCTTTGTCCAAAAGGTTGGATTCAGACAGACCCACCTCTTTCAACACGTTCATTTTAGCCTGAATCATTGGCCTGGATCAGAACATAAATAATTAAATGACAGCAGACATCACTGCTAAAGTTTTGGTCTAGTGGCTGGCAAATGTGCAAAAATGACTAACAAGAAAGAATATTTTCTGAATTTACATAATAATACTTCCATCTAATTAAGACGTACCACAGATGATCATCAGCAGTTCCTTTGGCAACCAGGTAGTGAATGTCGACGTTGCTAGTCTGCCCAATACGATGAACCCTGTCCTCCGCCTGAATGAGAACCTGCAGGAAACAGACAACATTTCCACTGATCTGCAGGCTTTCCAGCTTCATCTGCTGCTACAGAATGACGACAACCGAACTAAAATCATCATTGGATTCTTCTGTGAGAATAAGACAACCTGCTGACCGGTGACGAGAGTGAAAAATAATAATATGAGACACCATGGATAAGAAATGTGCACTTTGTGACATCCTGTTGCCAAAGGAAGAAATTAGTGCATCTCATAAATTATGGATCTAGTCCCCAACATATTTAGACATTTCTTCTGTGGGACAGGTCTTAAAAAAATGACTAGTAATCAGTATTTTGTTATTCTGAAATAGAGAACAAATTAGTAGAAAACGGGGGAAAATACACAAACTTAGTACAGTATCGGTAGCTTCGAGTCTTCCAGGACTTGTTCCAACAGAATTAAACCAGAACCAGACATAGGATTTAAAAAGAAGCCTCCAAAATCTTAAAAAATTTTACAGCAACATCGGCAGGTACAGGCAAACCTTGCAGCTGGATTTTCTACAATTCAAGCTTGTAAACTAAAAAGGTACAGGATGAGTTTTACCGACTTGAGCTGTACGCCAACAGAAAAGCATCTGCTGTGCAAAACTTGCCGGGGGAACGAATATAACAGCAGGTCAGAAAACTTTTCCAGAGCTGATGGATACAAGCCTCTTGGACAAACAGAGCCTCAACATTTCTCAGACATATTGATTCTTTTCTTTTTTTTATTCAATTATTAATAGGTTGTTTGTCTCTCTTCATTCTGTCTGAATAAAACTAATCCATTAACCAGAGCAATTTTAGGATGTTTTTAGTGATCACTGATCTCCCCTTTTCCTTAATCTCCTGCCTGGCAGCTTGGGTTTCACACTTTCTCATTTATTTATTACATAATAATGGCCGAGTATTGATCTATTGATCTTTCAGGGGAGCATTTATACGTTTTATAGCCACAAGGCAACAAAGCTTTGGAAAATATGGCACAAACAGAGCTACACACATACATACAAAGCAGAGACTGCAGCGCTTACTGTAGAGCACCAGCAGACAGTGCGGTATGTTTTGAGTCGGCTGTTAGAAACGTCTGGCTGCGACGGCTTACCCCTGGGTTCCAGAAAAGCTCGGCAAAGATCACCAGATCTGCAGAGTGCAGGGTGAGACCCATGTTAGCTGCAGTGACGGACAACACGGCCACGCAGGACTTGGATGAAAACTGAAACTTTTCACACAGCTGCTGCCGCTCTGCTGACGGAGTCGCCCCGTCGATGCGAATGAAGCTGACGTTCTGTTGGGAAGTTAAAAGCTCTTTTGAGTACTCTTCTGTACCTTTTATAACATTACAACCCGAAAATAATCAACTTAGTATACAATTGTTAAGTGGAAGGTGAAACTATACACGGTTTTCAAAACGTGTGTGAGTAATTTAATCTCATATGAATGCAAAAGTTTTACATTTTGAAACTTTTTTAGAAACGAATCATAAAATCTTCATTTAAAAGAAAAATTTTTTTGAATTGCTATGTGAAGGAAATTTACCTTTTTCAGCAGTTCGGTGGTGATGTGATCCAGGACTAATTTGTGGTGGGCAAACACGAGAAACTTCTCCCTGCCGCACTCCAGCATGTCTGTGATGTACTCCCTGGCCGTGACGGAGTAACACAGAGACGTTTAACAGAGATTTATAGGAATATCTGCGTACAAAGTCTTTATCCTGTCCGCGATCCACTTTGATCTCATTGTTGTGACAAATGATCCGGTTTCATTTTTACATTTTTATCTCCACACCCATCAAACGAGCTCTGATCTGACTCCCTGATCTCCAACATTAAGGGCGACTGTACTCACATAATGGCCTGCAGCTTGGCTTCAGCTGTGTGGTTGTAGAAGACGAGCAGAGCCTCCTTCTCCTCCATTTTCTGAGAAAAGAAAAAAAATAGATAAGGAAGAGCAGAAGATAAGAAATGACAGGATTCCGTTTGATGATTTGATACGACTGCCATTACTGTGATGAGCCCTGTGATTATGCACAATCATGCTCAGCAACTGGCCCCCATTAGAGTGAAATACGGCTCGACTGGAGCACTCCTCGCCGTTTAAAGCCACTTCTGTGTTTGAAGCTTGAAGCGACTCCCTCATGCACAGAGAGCAAAACTCAAACATCCGCTTTCCTTGCCTAAAGAAACTACTGAGCTTCCTGCTTTCTTTTAGTCCAGAGACTTTGATTTCAACACTGCCACATCAGCATCACGTTTTACTCATCAGACGATTAGAGCTGAAAATATTCAAGGACAGTGAAACTTGGATTTTTCATTTAATACTGTTCTATATGGATAAAATAAATAAAGACATAAGGTCTGACCTATTCGATTCGATTCGAGGTTATCACTCTAAACAAAAAGTTGTTGTTTTTTTCCACGAATGGCTGCTTCTATTATATTTACAGTAACTCCTTATTGCATTGCTAACTTTGAATTACTGATTAGAAAATATCAATTGATTCATGACACAAGCTCAGATACTTTGTTGTGCGCATCTTATCACATTACAATCACAAACAACCAGTTTCAATGGGATTTTTTTACATAGCAGACAAACACAAAGGAGGTTACGTTTCCGTTGTGGAAGAAAAATTTTTTTTGTTTTGTTTTGTTTTTTTTAATAAAAATCCGAAAACGGTAAAACGTGTATGAATACATACACGTTTCAGCAAAAGGTTTTTCAAGCAAAAATACTGAGGGAACCTTTCACACTTCCAATTTCAACCCTTGCTTCACCTTTTCAATTAGATTTTCATCTAGTCTTTGACTAGGCCATACTAACAGATGAATATGCTTGGTGGTTAACCACTGCTCGTTTGGAGTGGTTCGTCAAACAAGATGGCGGCCCGAGGAATTCATGGGAAAAAAGATAAATAAAAAAAAAAAATCCAGATTTTCCAAAAATGAAATCTTCAGTAACCAAAAAATTGATGATAAAATTGATTTATTGCACAGTGTTATAAATAAATAATACAATAATTTTATTTATTTTTTTTCTTAACCTGGCAGGGTAATATTGGGGTTTATTTAAAAAAAAAAAGCTCAACATAACAGTTGACTTACACTGCGATGACTTTTGGTCAGCTGCTTGGCTGCAGCCGAGAGGGCAGCTTTCATGCGGCCGCTGACCCCTTCAATGGTTACCGTGACCACCTTGCGCTGCTTGGACGGGAGCTGGGACAGGACGTCAGACTTGAGGCGGCGCAGCATCAGACACTCCTCCAACAACAGCTTTAGCTCTCCCAGATTAGAGGAGCCTGAGTAGTCCCAGCCCCAAGTCTTCTGCTGGTGCTGGAGGCAGAAAAGACCAGAGAGCAAATGTGATGATGGGAAAAATGAACCGACTGAAAAGAGATGCAGACGACACAGAAAAGGGCAAACTAGATTTTGCTCATAAAAACTTGATAAGAAAAGATCCGATATCTAGTCTAAGTACTGATCCAACTATCTCTTTTCATCATGTGTTTTTTGGTTGATTCCACTAAATTAAACATTACCTTTTAAGGGCTTAGCAGGGATGCAAATAGAAATAACCAAATGTGACACAGACACATGAATTAAACATTAACCAAAGTCTGAGAATCTTCTAAAAATTACAGAAAAGTAAAAACTTAATGCCTTCAAGTGCTTATGAGATTTTATATGTTACCTGTCGGGCATCACAGTAGCGCACCCCGAACTCGTGGAAGCGAGGGAAGAGTGAGGGTTTGACGGCCAGAATCTGAGTATAGAGCTCACAGGGTCTGGACATTGCGGGGGTACCCGACAGAAGGATCACTCTCTTCGCCGCCTGAGGATTTAAAAAAAAAAAAAAAAAAAAAGAGCCACCACTTTGGAGAACCAGCTCTTGCTTTAATTACGGCTGCAAGTCTTCAGGGATATCGATCAGTTTTGCAAAATACAGACAATTAATGTTTCGATCATCACTCTTTGCAAAGCAGCTCAAACTCATTCAGACTGGATAAAGAGAAATCCTCAATTTTCTTGCCACAGATTCTCAATTAAATTTAGGTCTGGACTTTATATAGGCCATTCTAACACACAAAAATGCTTTAATCGAAACCATCAAAGCTCGGGCTGTACGTTTAGGGTCAATTCTGCTGCTGGAAAGTTAACTTCCACCCTTTGTAACCTCCAAAGGTTCAAATTCTCTTTTCTCACCTTCAGCAGAGGTAAGGCGGCTTTGCAACGAGCCGTCTTCATGTTCTTCAGGAAGTGAGACTCGTCCTGCACATATTTTGTTGCTTGAAACATTTTTCAAAAGACAGAAGCTAACGGATCATTGACGAGGAGCCGATTCAACAGCAGCTCACCATGATGAGGACATTGAAGGGAGGACCTGCGTGCTGCTTGTCCATCCTGCTCAGCAGGTCGTAGCTGACGATGTTGACCAAACCAGACCTGATGTTTTCTTTGGCCTTTACCGCCACGTTGATGCTGTCGGGACTCAGGGAGGGGAGCCAGCGTCTGAAGGCCTACAGGCATGAATCATTAAGGGACCACCTCAAAAGAAACCACAACTATTAAGATTCACAGGTCATGTTTGAAGCCCTGATGTGAGAAGGTGTAGAAAATGCTATTATTCTTTGTCAGATGGACAAAAACTTAACCCAGGTGGTATATTATAGCCAAAGGACAAGCAATTCAGATTTTTATCTTTTAGACAATGATAATGTCTGTTACCCAATGACCATTAGATATAGCTACCGCCAACCAGATGACGCTGCATGCGGATATGGATACATACGTGAGCTACAGTTCGCTTTTTATAGCTATTATTCACTACTTTGTGTCCTACAGGTGACATGCTGTCAGAAATCACCAGCAATTCAGGCTCAATGAACCCATAAGTCTCCACCGCCGCCGTTTTTTTCCCCCCAAATCACTTCCCATTTACTTGTCAGTCGCCTTTCAAGCTGACTGAATGTCCATGGAAATGTCCTTTAAGAAGGGAAATTTACTTTGTGATTTCCCACAGGGGGGGATGGGTTTGTTCAGAGAGGAACAACTCAGTCGAGGGAAGCGAGGCCAAATTAACAGAGTTAACACTCAAATACATTTTACTTCTGTATTCCAGTTGAGAAGAAGTATGGGGGAAGAAAAGAAAATAAGGATGTGTAAAAACAGTTGTGTTTCCACTAAACTCGTAATACAACTGCATTCTTTTCCCCCATTCTGTTCCAAATGCTGAAATCTGATACAAACTTTTGTATTTAATTCGAAGAACGTGCACTTATTGCACACCAGAGTTTACACCCTGAAGGCATTTTCTGAGTTCAGACAAGACTTAATTTACGTTCTGATCCAGACAAGTGTTCAGCAGGAAAAGAATCACGTCTCAGTAACAAAAGACTTGAATCACATGGCTAACAGGGTAAAATGAAAAGGATGAAGACGTTCAGTGTTTTTGGCTTTACTGATGACATTCGACTGTGATTTAACTTGTCCAAATCCATGATTACACTAATTTCCTGCACATATACAAACATGTATATAATTTGACATGAAAAAAAAAATGCCGACAAAACAATGGGAAAAAAAAATTATATTGTATTCTGGAGAGGTAGGGAATTTTAAAATTGAAATGGTCTAAATGATTTAATAAGTACCCAGATAGCACATGATGTTAAATCAACGTTGAAAAATAGT